TCTCCGGTGCTGTATTGATGGTGAATAGCTCAGCTATTTCGTGGGCTTCAAAGAAGCCAGCATCGGTCGCGCTGTCGACCATGGAATCTGAGTATGTTGCGGCCGCTATGGCGATGAAGGACGCTGTATGGGTCAAGCAACTACTGGTCGAACTTCGACTATGGACAGCGAAAGAAGCTGTCCTGCTGCAGGTTGACAATCAATCTGCTATCAAATCGATGACGAACGAGATGTCAAGTCCTCGAACAAAGCACATCAACATAAGGTATCATTTCATCAGAGACGTGATTCAACAGGGCGATGTGACGGTAAAATACTGCCCAACTCAACAACAGATCGCAGACATTATGACCAAGCCACTGCAGCGCATTGTGTTCGAGCGTCTACGGGATCAGCTTCACATGGTAAAAGTGGTCGATATGGCGTAGCTTTTGAGGGAGGCTGTTGCAGATGGCAAAACTCTAGCCATTTCTCCGAAACCAGCTGGCCCAAGATCTTGTGGAGGCGTCCAGCTCGAAGAAATCAAGCCACGACAAAGCTGCCAGTGTCGTGGGTGAAAAGCAGCAAGCGACTAGAAGAAGGTGGGCACCGAAGGTGTCCACAGCGAAATCAGAAGTCATGACTGGCGCTGTTGAAGATTCAGGCTGCACAAGTACCTGGCTGGTGATGGCACCAGCATCGAAGGCGGAAATGTATGTTTTCCATGTACAAGTTACTCTTTGAAGCAGGCAGAGAAGCTAGAGAGAAGCTAACCAATTTGAATTCACTTTCAGTTTTACATTCTACTACTCAGATCAACGGGTCTTCTAACGCAGCAAATTCCTCACCGGTTTCTGAAAGTGCAAAATGTGTGACCTGCAACATGGAGCAAAGTCACTACTCGTATTTATGTTAATTCAGTCGAAAACTCCATAATACTCACACGTGGGTGTGTCCAGTGACTAAAATGTCTACGTTCATCTGAACAAAGAAAACTTGTGAAACAGCGTGAGAAATGCAACCAAAGCATCCAAATACCTTTCGCTGTAGAGCTGCGAGGCTTAGTTGGTCACCCCACGGGACGATCTGATGTCCGTGACACAGCCCGATTCGGAACTGGCCGATTGTAATGACCTTTGTCTCAGGGTATGCTCCTTCCTGTAAAATATCCAGACATCAGTATAACTCGGAGACTCTGGAAAGCATGAAAGATTGCAGACCTGGTCGCAGTCTCCCACCACGACGTGGACGTTTGGTGCCAGATTGCGCAGCTCGTCGAACTGTTCCTTGGTCCCCACGTTACCCGTGCAAAGGACATGCTGCATTTTGTTAGGAGCCTATCCACCGTAGTTAGCGCAAATGTTTTGTGCTAGACACCGCAGCCGACCGCACCAGCATCTTCTGAAACTTCTCGTGAATCTCCGAGGCTCGATTCGGGATGTGGCTGTCCCCAACCACCAACACGAGCTACCGGTAGCACAGTAACAGTACATACACAAATATAGCGTCATTATGAGTACCAAGCATCTCCCGCACACAGCAAGTGAGCTCTACCTCGCCGAAACCCGTCGCCATGTTTTTCTTTTTTCACGAAATCTTCTGAAATACTTGCGAATACGATGTCTAAAAATAAGACGTACTCGACGCTCATTGGTCAGTAATAATTTTACTTGTCTTTCGAGTGTTCAGCAGTTACTTACGCGGTAACGGTGGAATTTTCGTTCGCTTTTTCGCTGTCGCCCACTCACAGTTCGTCCTTCCCTCGTCGAGCCATGGGGATCTCTCTCAAGCATTTAAGCTTCGTGATGCTGGTGCTGCAGAACACAGCGTTGTCCATTGTATCCAAGTATTCGCGTGCCGAGCCCGGACCTAAGTACCGTCCCAGCTCGGTGGTGCTACTCGTGGAGATGCTCAAATTCCTGCTGTGCTACCTCATGTTGCTCAAAACCAAGCGAGGCAACGTCAAGGCGTCTGTTCGCACGCTACAGATTGAAGTCTTCGCTGACAAGACGGGGCTCACGAAGATGGCAGTGCTCGCCTTCCTGTACGCGCTGCAGAATATGTTCGCCATCGTGGCCTACGATTATGTGGATGTGGCCACGTACCAGATCGTGTATCAGCTTAAGATCATCACCACCGCTATGTTCATGATCGTGCTGCTACATCGACGCTTTAGCGTCGTACAGTGGTGCGCCATGGTCGCTTTAATGGCGGGTGTTGTCGTCTGCTCGTACTCGCGCCTACCGAGTGGATCACAGCACACTGATGAAGCCACAAACAGCAAGCGATTCATCGGTGTCTGCATTATGCTTGGGTTAGCTGTAAATTCAGGCCTCGCAGCGGCCTACTTCGAGCGTGTAATGAAGTCACACAAGGGCGTTCAAACACAACAGACGCTAGACCCGCTCTGGACACGGAATCTGCAGCTGTCCGCCATCTCTGTTGGCGTTACGTGCTTCGACCTCGTGCGTAATTTCGGCGAAGTATGGACGAACGGCTTTTTCCACGGTTTTCACCCAACGGTCTTCGCAGTCATTTTTCTTCAGGCCGTCGGTGGACTTACTATCGCTGCTGTCGTGCGCTACTCGGACAACATTGTCAAAAATTTTGGCACGTCCTTCTCGCTTATCCTATCGTGCATCATCTCCAACTATATGTTCGGCCAGACGGCCACGTTCTCATTTTACTTTGGTGTATTCCTCGTGGTTGGCGCAGTCTTCGTCTACGGTGACAGTCGGTTTGCCATCAAACCCGTCGCGGCCAAGAAGGATCGCCAGTCCACGACCGATGGATCGATACACGAAATCGCCATCGACACCAAAACCACGCAGGTCGTGCACTCTGGAAGCAGGAACTTTGTTGCGCGGTCTGTGCAAACATTTAATGGGCTGTGCGTTTAGAAATATCTTTTTTATGCAGACGCGTTGGGATCATTCTAGGGTCAATCATTTCGATACATTTTATCTTAAATTTGTGAGAAACAAGTCATCAGCTGCTGTCGTCGGAGTACATGACGTTAGGAGACGTTTATACATGTATGGTGTATTCGTGAGTTGTTGACGAAAAGGTCTTTGCTGTTGTGTTGTTCGTTTCATGTAATCTGGCGTCTTGTTCAGACGCCCCTGAGAAGCATTAAAGCTCGGGCATTTGCTCACAAACACAACAATGATAGCAAAAAGTCTGCGTGCTGTACGCTGTACCGGCACTTTGTGCGGGAAAAAGAAACAAACAGTTGACTAGACACCAGCCATAAAATGCTGATCTGATGAAAGGGGTCTTCTATGTGTCGCGAGTCGTCGTGGAACGGGACGCTTGCGATGATCAACGGTAGCGGTGCAGGCAAAAAATAGCAATCCAAGTCGACACATATAGTAATATAAGTAATATAAAGCCAAGTGTATTAACCCCTCCGTTACCAGAAATCCCCGGCACGAACCGCCTATTTTACGTCGTAACTTACGACTTCATTTATGTATTGATTTCACTAGGGACGTGCCCTGTCCACGTCATGAATCATAGGGATGGGTGTATAAGTTTTCGGGGGATTCCGGATTCGAAGTCGTCAGTGTTAGGACTTACCAAGTACACCGACGGACAGAATGCAACTGCCGACAAAACTAACTGCCAGTCAGTGTAAAAGGGCGTGCAAGATAGAAGAGATGCGCAAATCCTATTTTATCAACCAATCGAATCACTCAAAATCCTGATTTTATTCGCCGATCCAGCCGTTATTTCTGTGCCAGCCACTTTGTGAGATGGAGGAAACCAGCCGTTATTTCTGTGCCAGTCACTTTGTAAGATGGAGGAAACCGTCGAGCCCGAGCCACCCACAGAGCCTCCATCAGCGCTGCAAGGCGCAAAGGAGGCTGCCATCGCGAGCCTCTGAAGGCGAAGCTGAAGGCTTTGTGGCTGACCGAAAAGGCTACCGCTACGACGGCAAAGGAGAAACGCATAGCGACGATCAAGCGTGTAATTGCGGCATGGGAATTTATCGAGGCCAACACAGTGACGAAAGCGTTCAACAAGGCACTCGACACGAACTATAAAAATACAGCTGCCTCCTCGTAATTCATTGCTTTTGCAATATAAAAATACAGCTGCCTCCTCGTAATTCATTGCTTTTGCAAATCCTTAAAATATTGAAGACCTTTGCCTGTTTCTACAAAGCGAGGTGGCATTTGCATTCTGTCCGTCAGTGTACCAGAAATCCCCGGCACGAACCGCCTATTTTACGTCGTAACTTACGACTTCATTTATGTATTGATTTCACTAGGGACGTGCCCTGTCCACGTCATGAATCATAGGGATGGGTGTATAAGTTTTCGGGGGATTCCGGATTCGAAGTCGTCAGTGTTAGGACTTACCAAGTACTGTACACTAGCGGTCTCAACTTGGGGCTTGAGACTCAAGCCCCATAACTTACGACTTTGTGAGCTAGAAAGACAGTTTATGTAGCAACAGCTGATGATGTGCAAACTGATCGGAGCGCAAAATACGTGCACTCTTCAAATTATCTCATACTATCTGTGACGGGGTCACACAGCACCTTGCGCTAGAGGAAGTTATCTTCCGAGAGTATACAAACTCTCAGTGAACGGCAGTTCACAGGTCCCCTCTTTAATTAAAGAGAGCGAAGTGACCTAAATAAGGTAGATTGTAAACTGAGTATATTTATAGGTAGGTTAAGTTTGGGTTTAATACAAACTATTAGTTACCTATAGAAATGCAATGTCATTTAACCAATGGTTGGCTTTGAACGACCTTGGTACCTTGTACCATATATCCCGGAGTATGACGTGTCATACTCCTGAAGTGTGAAGTGTCACACTTCATGTAACCAGGGTACACTTAGGGATACGTACCCCGTTACATCCTCCCCCACTTAGGCTCGGTTTACCGACCAATCAGAATGAAGAGGTGTTCGTCACATACTCTCATTCTCAAAGTCGAAAACCATCGACTTGGCCGCGGGACCGCGGCGGAGGCTCACTTCACAGTTAGAGCCTCGAGCAGCAGTCTGTGCGCTCCTCTTCTAGGTTTTCCACTTCGACCGTTAACCATGCCTCGTGGCACTGCTAAGAGCGGTGCGTAGAAACGCTCCAAGGCTGCTGCCGGAATGGCGCAAGCCAAAAGCACTAAGCCTCACGGCAAAGGCTCGGCACTTAAGGAGACTACTCAGGTGGCCTCCGAGGCGATCGGTTCATCGGGCGACAAGGCTGTGGGCAAGCGAACAAGCAAGCGCCGCAGCCCGTCGCCCTCAGCCTCTCCAGACAATCGTCCGAACCCTCGGTTCGTAGAACGTGAGTTCAACTCGGGCAGTGAGGACGATGCCGAGTCCGAGAGCACTCATGATGCTCCTGCGGGCTCTGTGGGAGGGCACAGCCCAGTGCCTAGCGAGCACAAGGATGACAGCGTCCAGTCGCCCGCTAGTGATCACGGTGATCACAGTCCCAGGACCTCTGTGCGCTCTGAGAGTCCGGCCGTTAAGGCTAAGGGCGCTCCCAAAGCCAGTGGCGATGAGGAAGAGAATCCTCGCAAACGTCTCTCGCTTGCCGAGGGTCTTGCGCGCGCTAAGGCCTCTAAAGCAGAAGCCGCCAAGCCCTCAAAGAAGCGTACCGCCTCTAAGTCTCCACTCCGCGAGGAGAAGGAGACTCGACGCTCCTATTAGAGTCTCTTCGGCTCCTCGGATGAAGAGGAGGAGAAGGAGGAAGAAGAGGAAGAGGAGGAGGATGCTATCGTTGAGCCCCGGGAGGTCTCGAATGACCTCGACCAGCAGCAGGAGGATTTCCAAGCTGCCCAGCGTGTGCGTGGGGGTTCGGTGGCGGCACCCATCAGCCAGGGAGCTGCCATCAATTCAAGAGGGTATTGGCCTCCCGAGGAGAGCTCTGGGGCTGACCTCTTCTTGGAGGTTCTCGTCGCTCCTCGTGGCCTTGTGGGCGGCCACACTTCTAGGGGAATCTATGAACGAGCCCTTGTTCAGAAAGAACAGTTGTTCGTCGACAACTTGGAGGCTGCTCGGTGTGTGCTTCTCGCGCCACACCGCATTCCCCTTAAGGACTTCACGACTTGTCGTAAGAAGCCCGAGACCCGGGGTGGTCTCTATCCTGTTTGGGGATACCCCTGGGTTATGCTCGAGAACTGTCCCACGTGGAGTTCTTGTGAGGACATGTTCTGGGCGTGGGTGGAGACTCTCAAGTACTCGCCCACGGAGTTATGGGAACTCCATGAAGATCAGCAGCTGTCCCACATCCTGGACCAGCGTGATCTTCGTGTGAGGTTTGCCCACTTGATCAGCAAGCGTATGCTGCCAAGGGACATCCTGAAGCGCGCGGCTTCTAGCGCTCACGATGAGCGCGGGTACGGTATGTATTCATCGTCCGTACCCCGTTCGGGCAAGAAGCCCCGGACTACTTATGAAGCTGCCACCGCTTCTGTTCCCAGATTGCGACAGTCTTTGTGGTGTAGCGGGATCAGCAAAATCTGCGAGATTGCCGGATCCAGCTTACCAACTGCACCCAGACACCGACTAACGGAGGGGGTCCCCCGATGATCCGTGTTCTGCTGAACTTTCCTCACCTTGTGTACCCGTCGGTAGGGCGGGATCTTGCTCTCTCGGTAACTTCCGAAGAGCTCAAGTGGTGAAGCTTGAGCGTCTTGGCGAGACGTGGGGATGGGGTGGAGCAGCAGTGGAAAATCTTCACTCTGCGTCCGTGGATTGTTCCGAATCCTAAGCGAATATTCGAGCTTATGGATCCGGGGCCTAGATCGTGGATCTGGCCGTAGGGTTGCCTTGCGGGTGTGTCCCTTGCCTTTGCGTTCCTTTGCGCTGTACTTGCCGCCGCCTGTGACGGGATCTTGAGAGTTGAGAGCCCTTAGGGTGTAACCGACCAAGTAGTAAATTCGGTTAACCTGTCGGATCTGCACAAGTAAAGGAAAAGCTCACTAGGTTGTAGGATCTGGCCAATGTATTATCCAGTTATCACTACCAACACTAGATTCGCAATTCCCAACCTTCTCGGAGCTCGTACGGCCAATGTAGTTCCGGTTCTTGAGGGCAGGAAGGCACTTGCGTGTCACTGTGCAAATTGGAGTCTGTATTGATATTTAAGCCTATACCTGCCTGGATTTCTACCTTCTATGTCTTTCATCTGCTAAATCCCTTACCAGGCTCGGCTGCATGTCCCTTCTTCCCTTGACCCATCATCCCAGCTGTATTATCTTCAGATCCACCGGATCCATGACGTAATCATCATGGTCACCCTATTATGGGTACACTCATCCGGATCCAGGTCGCTTGGATCCACTTCACTGTAAGTTTGCACTCGTCGTCGATCTGAGCTCTCCCATCATCCAACATCATCTCGCAACCGTCTGTGATCTCCATTGTCCCACGAAAGTTCGAGATCCACTGTATCCATCATCCCTATACCCTGGATCCAGGTCCCTCCAGGCGGGATCCTCCCTCCTTGGATCCGAACTCGGAAGTATGGGATCCGGGGTACCTCGCGGTGGATCTTGACTCTTCATTAGCCGTGACTACTAGAGCCACCTTCAGAGGGCACCGACCATCCTTCCTTCATAGGATCCACACTCGATCCACTCTTGTATAGTATATCCCATATCCATCTTAGTGAATCCAGGTAAGGGTGGATCCGAGGTAAGTCTTGGTGGATCTTGCCTTCTCGTACGTCGCTCATATCAGATCCATCGTCATTCCATACGGGGTGCTGCTCGCCATGGCTAATCCACCACAGGCAACTTGCATCCGTGCCAGCCAACCCAAATCCTCTCTAATCACTTGAAATTGTCACTGATTCGGGATAGTGACCCCGCGTCAGGCCCATTCTCTTATTTCTGAAAAAGCACTTCACCACAATCGCCTCTGTGGTGTTGGAAATCCCACGTGAACTCTAGCTACAGATGTAGTTAGGATGTTCCCACAACAATACGTCTACTAGGATAGTAAACGATCGTTCGGGCGGACCTGAAGACCCCAGTTCTGCCCTTGCACCGGGACAAACTGGACCTTGTAAACTACTTATATAGGCCAACCAGTAAAATAAGAACACGCTACTAGCACGAGCAAAGCTAGCAGGTGTTTTGAATCCTCGTGGTCCCAACAGCGGAAGGGTACCAGGCACGGGTAAGCCTTTTACGAGATCACCGAGTGTTCAACACTCGGCTGGAAGAAATAAAAGGGAGGCAATTCAAGCACTCCCAGTCGTGCAAATAGGCAACAATAAGCCGTCACGTAAAACCTCCCGATAATAATCGGCCAATACACAAAGTCTCTTGGCCTTGCCGGATGAACCCTCGCTACAGAGCTTCGAGTTCACCGACAGGCATAACACACTCAAACAAGCTTGACCTGACGCTTACCTTGAAGCCGGACGTCGCTCTGTGTGCTTGAGTGGAAATTCTGTTCTGTATTTAAGCTTACC